TAATTTTTATATTATTTCTATTATTAGACAGAGTTCCCATCTGCTGAAATATGACACAAATATCTAAAATGTCCAGGGATGGGCAAGAACAAAGACAGGAGCTGGAAAATCGATCTGGGTCTTCCACATGAGTGCAGGGACCATAATTACTTGAGCCATCACCTGCTGCCTCCCAGGATTTGCATTAGCAAGGAGCTGAAGTTGGAAGTCAAACCCAGGATTCAACTCTAGGTACTCTTATGTGACACACAGGCATCTTAAAACTAAGTCAAAAGTTCACTCTCTCCTACCTTTTAACACTTAGTTTTCTCTTATATAAAATGGTTATAAAAGACAAGATGATTTTAATGTTCAAACCAATGCTGCCATTATTTGTTCCATGGTTTCAGTATTTAAAAACTGGTGATATATATATATATATATATATATATATATATATACAGTATTAAAAAACCAGGGATATATATACACACACATATGTATTTGTGCAAACTAAATCAGGAAGAGACACAAAGCCATTTTTTATTTCACAGTAGACTCTTGGTTAGAAAGCACTTAACTTAAAGACAAGTTAACAGGAGTGAATAATCTCTCCCCATCTACAAAAGTATGACTGAAATAAATGAAAATAAATTTAAGAATAAAAGTATACAAAAACTAGAAAATCAAAGGTGTCATGACAATAAATAAGGAATTCCCAGAAAATAAAAAGCAAGCAGTACTAGACTCATGGATAGCCAGATAAAATGGAACCTCAGCCAAGGATGACAAATATAAAAACAATTATTCCAAAGAACACTTCAATTAAAAATTTAACAAGAATGACCAAACCAAAAGCAGATTATTCATCAGTGTATTTAAAAAATTGCATCCAAAAAACCTGGACCAGGGAAAACTGCTCTGTTGCAGAAACAAAAAGAACAACTAGAAACAACAGCTTTTGCTCAGTCCAATGTTTTTTTTTAGAAAACTTTAATATAAATTTTGAAAGTACAACTTTTGTATTATAGTGGTTTTTCCCCCCATAACCACCCTCCCACCCACAAACAATCCCATCTCCTACTCCCTTTCCCACCCCATTCTTAAGATTCACTTTTAATTATCTTTTTAAGATCAACAGTATATTTGTGACTCTTCTTTAAATGTCTGGTAGAACTCAGCACTGAAGCCATCTAGTCCTGGGCTTTTCTTTGTTGGGAGGGTCTTTATTACTGATTCGATCTCTGTTTTTTTTTTTATTGGTCTGTTTAGAATTTCTATGTCTTCATGACTCAGTTTTGGTAGATTGTGTTTAGGTATCTATTGATTTCTTCTAGATTTTCCAATTTGTTAACATACTATGGTGTTAACATTCTATGATTACTTCAAAATTTACTGCATATAGGTGAAATGGTCATCTTTCCACTTGACTATTTCTTATAGTCCTTGCCTATATTCCCACTAAACTAGATCTTTTTGATTTTTACCTTTGAACTCTTTATTTGGTGGAAAATTAGCCCTTGTAATCTAACTAGAGGCTGGGAGGGGAAGGAGGGAAGTACAAAGGTAGTTTGGATAAAAAAATAGGGGAAGCTGTATGTGACTCATTAATTATAACAAATATACTAATAAGAGAGGTTAGCAGTAGGGGATTCTGGGTGTGGTTTATAGAGTGTGACAAACGTAAAATGTTAAGAATAGGGAATTCTGGGTCTGGTGTATATGAATATTTTTGTACTACTTCACAATTCCTGCTCGTAAATTTAAAAATATTCTGAAATAAAATTTAAATTATGAAATTATAAAATAAATGAAAAATATAATCCCTAAGCTTAAACAGATAATTTTAATTTTACCAGTCTTTCCATTCGTATGGTCACCTCCTCACCCAAAGCAAAAAAGGAACAGTAATAGCCTTATTGTATACACAGTATAGCCTCCGTATCCTTTACTACTTGCTTAAAAGTCAAGGCTATAAAAGACCATGATTTACATCATCAATCATCTGACTTCTTCTTAGGACAGTGATTCTAAATCCATGTTAAGGATGGTTAAGGGTAGTGAAGGAGCAAAGACAAAAAAGCTTTAGATCAATGCTGACCTCTTATGTAACAACAAGCAGGCTCCCATTTCTCTGCCCTGCAAATACAGCCCCATCCTGCATTGACCAGCCCTGCCCCAGCCCGACTGTTCTACATACCACTATCTAAAGAGTCCAGCTATCAGCCTGAGCTCTCTCCACTCCTCCCAAGCTCTCCTCTCCACCTTTTCAGCAGTTCAATCTCAGAGTCCAGACTCAGTTCAAACACCTCCTAGTCCACACTGTTACATCGAATGACTTATAGATTAGCTCAAGCTCTCCCAGTATCTTTGCAGGCCAGCTTAAGCTCAGAACCCCAAACTCCTTCTTGCTGCTTTCTGCTACATAAGCCACTAGTCTGTAAGGGAAGTCTCTCTCCTCCTCTCCCCACCTCTCTCCCCCTTTCTCTCGCTCCCTCCATTCTGATTTTAAATAAATATATTTTTAAAAAATCTCTATAGAGATCTGGTATAAATAAGCCTTAAAAATACTGAACCTGAATTAGTGTTTATGGGGTGTCAGAGTCTCTGTCCCTTTAAATCATACCATAAAGGTTGTCATAAACACTTCTTCCACATAAGGTCAGCCTTGGCTTCCAGAAATCCACTGTAATTGCACAAAATAGTCCATTTGTTAGAAAACAGTAGTCTTGGATTTCCCCCTAGTAATGATGTATAGTGGGCAATTAACTTTTTTTTTTACAGGCAGAATGGACAGTGAGAGAGAGAGACAGAGAGAAAGGTCTTCCTTTTGCCGTTGCTTCACCCTCAAATGGCCGCCACAGCTGGCACGCTGCTGCCAGCACACCGCGCTAATCCGATGGCAGGAGCCAGGTGCTTCTCCTGGTCTCCCATGGGGTGCAGGGCCCAAGGACTTGGGCCATCCTCCACTGCACTCCCTGGCCACAGCAGAGAGCTGGCCTGGAAGAGGGGCAACCAGGACAGAATCTGGCTCCCCGACCGGGACTAGAACCCGGTGTGCTGGCGGCGCAAGGCGGAGGATTAGCCTACTGAGCCGCGGCGCCGGCCCCAATTAACTTCTACTACTGCACATGCCATGTATTACATGAGGACTTCCTATCACAATCATCCTCATCCCTGTAACTTGCTGGGAGTGTGTGTTACCACCTATTTAGCCTATCAGAATGCCACAATAAAAATAGATGAATTATTTTACTGGATCCTTGTTATAGATAACAAAATTATAAACAGAATTAGTCATGGAGTCAGAATACAAGTGTATGGCTTTGTGGCTTCGTGAACCTGTGCAACTAACATTGGTTAGCCTCAATTTTTAACATACAGAATAAGTGTACAAATTTATACAAACATATGAGATACTGACTGTCAATCACAAACTTTAAAGGACTCATAAGTAAACACTCAGGATTGAAGAGAAGGCTTACTGTACTGAATACTGTACATTGTACAACCAACAGGTGATGATTGAAAAGTTCCTTATGAAGTTGTTTAATCACAGCACATTCAAAAATCTCCATGCAGTAATGTGTTTAGTTACTCTCCATGGCCTGGATTTGCATGTGGATGCATTTTACCTCCCAGATCAAACTGTGTGGTAAAATTAACCCTTGGAGCTGCTGAATTACACGGCTAGAGGTTTCCACTGGAGGCCCCAGTGTTAGTCACAAGTATGGATTTATGAACCCATAAAACATTAACTGCATTTCTGCATGATTTGTGTCTGATTCTCTTTTTCACACATGATGTGTGAGTGAAGTACACTATCCCCAGATGGCATTAATGCTTTGATAAATAAACTGATCTTCTGTATATAAAGAGAATCGAAAATGAATCTTGATGTGAATGGAAGGGGAGAGGGAGTAGGAAAGGGGAGGGTTTTGGGTGGGAGGGACATTATGGGGGGGAAGCCATTGTAATCCATAAGCTGTACTTTGGAAATTTATATTCATTAAATAAAAGTTAAAAAAAATCACTCTTGTATATAACTGACTTCATACAACAGAGACATAAAAACTGAATTATATGAAGATGAATAGAAAATATATAGATTTCATAAAGCTATTGGTTTGACTATCCTACCCTGGAAGGGTATAAATGGGTCAAAGACCAACATCAGTTAACTGGGCTCTACCAGCAGAAGTTCAGATAAGATTATTTGGATTTCCTACAAGGAACTTTTATCTTTTGCTTTTATTTTCTCACATCTTTTTCAGATACAGTGGTACACATTGCTTTGGGGACAAACTGCTCCCACTATTCAAAGTATTAAAGTTCTCCACAGTTGTAAATTACAGGCAGAGTGGACAGTGAGAGAGACAGAGAGAAAGGTCTTCCTTTCTCTGTTGGTTCACCCCACAATGGCCACTGCGGCTGGCGTGCTATAGCCGGCGCACCACAATGATCCGAAGCCAGGCCCACAATTAGAACATTTTCTTCATATAGTACTCTTTAAGCAATCCCCAATGAAAGGGAAAAATAAACATTAGACCCTCAAAGCAAATAAAACTATAGGTGAGTCTATCTAAACAAGAGGTGATTCAGTGGCTTATTTGTCTTGCTAAAGTGGCAGAGATGAAGAATTTATTGCTTGTCTCAGGCATCTTTCAATCTGACCTGCAAAGCCAGCAGATTTAAAGTAACCTGAGCTTGGTCCTGAGAATTTTTTGTCCCAACTCCAGAGTAACATCCATTATTTGAATTTTAAACACACACATACATACACACATACACACATCTTCCCTGTACCAAGGTCACTCAATAACTAAGAATATTAAATTAAGTTAAATTCTGTCTAAAATGAAGCCCCGTTATCAAGGTTAATTAAATAAGGACTAGGTTGTGACTATCACAGGAATTGAGTTCCCAGGACCAACTAAAAGTGAGGACTCCAAAATTCAACACGTAAGGTCAGCTATTTACACATTGTTCAATGAATGAATGTGAGTTTCAACACATCAAACAGTACTTTACATAGGGCATCTTTTTGGTCCTTATGAAAGCATGAGTGGATGTGACACGGAGGACCTACGGGGAGAGCAAGGACGCCCATGGCGAAGAAGCTGAGCCGTGGGAGCGGAGGTGCGGGAGCCGAGCTGCGGAGTCCACACGCCAGTGCTGGAAGGGGAGGTGAGACAAAAACCTCGGTAACCCGAGTCATTGGTGGGGAAAGGCAGAAAGAGCCTAGAGGGAACGAGGCTTGAAGCCCCGCTCGGGGAAGTTCACCAGGCTGACTGGAGGAGAGAAAAATAAATAAATAAATAAGGGGAACCGCCACGGACACTAGCCTCTCTCCCCACACACCTTACAAAGCCGAGCAAGACAAAGAGCAGGTGCCATTTTGGACATACTTAAGCAGCGCCCGCCAGCAGCCAAGCAGAAAAACCTGACTCTGGTGGGGAGAAATAACTGGAGGTTAGAACCTAGTGAAAGTGTGGAGCTAACGAACTGAGACTGTGAAAATCTAAGGGTGGGTGAGAGAACTCACTGAGTACACAAACTCGGTAACCTTGGCAACCCGGTGAGAGACTGCTGAGAAATTTGAGACCACACTGAAGGCTGCATAGACCCTTTGTGTGGTCCTTGGGGTAGAGCAGACTAATAAAAACAGAGGCCAGATTTCATACATCAACTACCCTCAATTCCACTCAACTGTATGGAATTACTTCCCTTCTGAGTCAAAAAGAGAGAGAGAGCGAGCAAGCAAGAGAGAGAACAAACTGCATGAGTCACCTTTGGCACACCCTTAACCCTGAAGACCCAAACAGAGCACTCTGGCCACACCCATCACAGCCTCTAAGGATCCGTCAAAAGCAGACAGTCCACTTAATCTAGAGTCATAGTATAATGAGAAAAAACACCACAGTGAAGAAACCAAAGAATATCTTCACAATGCCAAACAAACACAGAAACCGAGGTAACAAGAACAAGAAAGACACTATGATGCCCCAAATGATAAAGACACCCCAATTCAAGATTATGAAGATGACGAGATAGAAGAAATGCAAGAAGCGGTTCTCAAAAAATTGATAAGAACATTAAGAAGTTCTCAAAAATAAATTCTTGAACTACAGAAATCCTTAATGGACAAGATAGAAAAGCTCTCTCGCAAAAATGAAATATTAAGGAGGAATCAAAATGAAATGAAGCAACTAGTAGAACATGAAACTGTGATAGTGAAGAGTAATCAAAATGAAAAGAAGAATTCAATGGATCAAATGACAAACACATTAGAGAGCCTTAAATTTTGTTCGATTGGTCTATCCATCTGTTTCTGTACAAGTACCATGCTGTTTTGATTACAACTGCCATGTAGTATGTCCTGAAATCTGGTATTGTGAGCCTTAAAGACAGAATGCGTAAAGCAGAAGAGAGAATATCGGACTTAGAAGACAGAGAACAGGAAAGTATACAGTCAAACCAAAGAAAAGAGGAAATTAGAAATCTAAAAAATATTGTCGGGAATCTACAGGATACTATTAAAAAAACCAACATTCGGGTTCTAGGAGTTCCTGAAGGCATGGAGAGGGAGAAAGGATTAGAAGGCCTTTTTAGTGAGATACTAGCAGAAAATCTCCAGGGTTTGGAGAAGGACAGAGACATCCTAGTACAGGAAGCTCATAGAACTCCTAGTAAACTTGACCAAAAGAGATCCTCACCACGACACGTTGTAATTAAACTCACCACAGTGAAACAGAAAGAAAAGATCCTAAAATGTGCCAGAGAGAAACATCAGATTACTCTCAGAGGATATCCAATTAGACTCTCAGCAGACTTCTCATCAGAAACCCTACAAGCTAGAAGGGAATGGCAAGACATAGCCCAGGTACTGAGAGAGAAAAACTACCAGCCCAGAATACTATATCCTGCAAAGCTCTCATTTGTGAATGAAGGTGAAATAAAGACCTTTCATAGCAAACAGGAATTGAAAGAATTTGTCGCAACTCGTCCAGCCCTGCAAAAAATGCTTAAAGATGTGCTACACACAGAAACACAGAAACACGACCATCAATATGAACGAAGGTAAAGGATGAAAACCTACCAGTAAAAGATCATAGGAAGCTTAAAGCATATAGTAGAAAATATCTTTGGGAAAATGGCAGGGCAAAGTCACTACCTATAAGGCTGGAAAAAGATACTCCATGCCAACAGAAATGAAAAAAAGCAGGTGTAGCCATATTAGTATCAGACAAATAAACTTTAACACAAAAACTTAAGAGAGACAAAGAGGGGCACTATACAATGATTAAGGGTTCAATTCAACAGGAAGATGTAACTATTATAAATGTATATGCACCTAATTACAGTGCAGCAGTTTATTTAAAAGGTATGTTAAGGGACTTAAAGGGATTCTTATATTCCAATACAATAGTACTGGGGGACTTCAATACTCCACTCTCAGAAATAGACAGATCAACCGGACAGAAGATCAACAAGGAAACAGCAGAATTAATTGACACTATTGCCCAAATGGATCTAACAGATATCTACAGAACTTTTAATCCTACATTTAAAGATTTTACATTCTTCTCAGCAGTGCCTGGAACCTTCTCTAGGACTGACCACATACTAGGTCATAAAGCAAGTCTCAGCAAATTTAAAAGAATTAGTATCATACCATGCAGATTCTCAGACCACAGTGGAATGAAGGTGGAAATTAGCAACTCAGGAAACCCTAGAGAGTATGAAAACACATGGAGATTGAACAACATGCTCCTGAATGAACACTGGGTCATAGAAGAAATCAAATAGAAATAAAAAACTTTCTGGAAGTAAATGAGGATATCATTTACTTACATATCAAAACTTATGGAAAACGGCAAAAGCAGTGTTGAGAGGAAAGTTTATAGCAATAGGTTCCTACATCAAGAAATTAGAAAGGCACCAAATAAATGAGCTTTCAATGTATCTCAAGGATCTAGAAAATCTGCAGCAAACCAGACCCAAATCTAGTAGGAGAAGAGAAATAATTAAAATCAGAGAAGAAATCAACAGGATTCAATCAAAAAAAAACAAACAAAAAAAAAAAAAACAACAAAAAGAAGAACATTACAAAAAATCAGCCAGGCGAAGAGCTGGTCTTTTGAAAAAATGAATAAAATTGACACACCATTGGCCCAACTAACTAAAAAGAGAAGAGAAAAGACCCAAATCAATAAAATCAGAGATGAAAACGTAAATGTAACAATAGAAACCACAGAAATAAAAAGAATCATCAGAAATTAATACAAGGAATGGTATGCCAGCAAACGGGGAAATTATCAGAAATGGATAGATTCCTGGACACATGCACCTTACCTAAATTGAATCATGAAGACATAGAAAACCTAAATAGACCCATAACTGAGACAGAAACTGAAACAGTACTAAAGGCACTCCCAACAAAGAAAAGCACAGGACCAGATGGTTTCACTGCTGAATTCTACCAGACATTTAAAGAAGAATTAGATCCATTCCGTCTCAAAATATTCAGAACAATGGAAATAGATGGAATCCTCCCAAATTCTTTATATGAAGCCAGCATCACCTTAATCCCTAAGCCAGAGAAAGATGCAGCATTGAAAGAGAATTACAGACCAATATCCCTGATGAACATAGATGCAAAAATCCTCAATAAAATTCTGGCCAATAGAATGCAACAACACATCAGAAAGATCATCCACCCAGACCAAGTGGGATTTATTCCTGGTATGCAGGGATGGTTCAATATTCACAAATCAAACAATGTGATACACCACATACTGCAGAAGAAAAACCATATGATTATCTCTATAAATGCAGAGACAGCATTTGATAAAATTCAACACCCTTTCATGATGAAAACTCGAAGCAAACTGAATATGGAAGGAACATTCCTCAATACAATCAAAGCAATTTATGAAAAACCCACGGCCAGCATCCTATTGAATGGGGACAAGTTGGAAGCATTTCCACTGAGATCTGGTACCAGACAGGGATGCCCACTCTCACCACTGCTATTCAACATATTTATGGAAATCTTATCCAGAGCTAGTGGCAAGAAAAAGAAATTAAAGGGATAAAAATTGGGAAGGAAGAACTCAAACTATCCCTCTTTGCAGATGACATGATTCTTTATTTAGGGGATCTAAAGAACTCTACTAAGAGACTATTGGAACTCATAGAAGAGTTTGGCAAAGTAGCAGAGTATAAAATCAATGCACAAAAATCAACAGCCTTTGTATACACAGGCAATGACATGGCTGAGAAAGAACTGCCAAGATCAATCCCATTTAAAATAGATACAAAACAATCAAATACCTTGGAATAAACTTAACCAAGGATGTTAAAGATCTCTACGATGAAAATTACAAAACTTTAAAGAAAGAAATAGAAGAGGATACCAAAAAATGGAAAAATCTTCATGCTCATGGATTGGAAGAATGAATGTAATAAAAATGTCCATTCTCCCAAAAGCAATTTATAGATTCAATGCAATACCAATCAAGATACCGAAGATCTTCTTCTCAGATCTGGGGAAAATGATACTGAAATTCATATCAAGTCACAGGAGACCTCGAATAGCTAAAGCAATTTTATACAACAAAAACAAAGCCGGAGGCATCAAAATACCAGATTTCAGGACATACTACAGGGCAGTCGTAATCAAAACAGCTTGGTACTTGTACAGAAACAGATGGATTGACCAATGGAACAGAATTGAAACACCAGAAATCAACCCAAACATCTACAGCCAACTTATATTTCATCAAGGATCTAAAACCAATTCCTGGAGAAGGGTAGTATATTCAATAAACTGTGCTGCTGGAAAACTGTATCTCCATGTGCAGACGCATGAAGCAAGAACCCTACATTACACCTTACACAAAAATCCACTCAGCATGGATTAAAGACTTAAATCTACAACCCGATACCATCAAATCATTAAAGAACATTGGAGAAACACTTCAAGATATTGGCAATGGCAAAGATTTCCTGGAAAAGACCCTAGAGGCGCAGGCAGTCAAAGTCAACATTAACTATTGGATTGCATCAAATTGAGAAGTTTCTGTACTGCAAAAGAAACAATCAGAC